GTTAACCCTCGATCAGAGGGAGACAGCAGGGGCTTGGCAGAGCACAACCTCCAGTTTAAAAACACATATGTCATCCACCGGGGGCTCGCAGCTCTCAGCGGCAAGAAGTCATAGGAAAGTGTGTGTGTGTGTGTATTAAAAAAAGAAATTAGACACTTTATTTTTCATACAATTTCTCAAGATACAGGGATGCACTGATGGCTGGACCCTTGTCTGGGTATAAGTAAAATAAAGTTACAGTATGTCTGACACCTTTTAACATAACTTCTTGACCACACTGTAATATGTGTAATATATGACAAGACTCGTATAGAAAGTGAACAAGAAACAGAAACCAACTCAGCTAAATTGACAATCCTGCAAACATCAGCTCAGAAACACTTTGAGACAGAAATGAACCCAGAGAGCACTTACCTCCACCAAAGTAGCTTCCATAGGTAAGAAATAATCTGTGTATCTGTCGCATTATTTGAATCCGCTCTTTAAAATGTAATGGGTTCTTCCTTGGCCCGTGCTAGACCCTTACAACAAGTTTTATGAAAATCTAAATCAAACACAACCCTCCTTGGTGGTAAAAGTAATTATTAGGGCTGCATCTAAGGATTATTTCATTTGTTTAATCTACTATTTTCTCTCTTTTGAGCCATTGGTTTAATAGTGATATAGTGTGGTAGAATGTCAGCAAATAGCAAAAACAAGGCCCTCACAAGTTCACATAGTGTTATCCTTAAAGGTCTTGTTTTTTTCAACCTGTAGTCCAAAAGCAAAAAAAAGTCAGCTTATATCATCATAATGTGAGGAAGAAACTGCGAATATATTTAAATTTGAGTAATTGGAACTAGGGCATTTTTTATTAATGATTGACAGCTTTCATTAGTAATTTAAGTGTAACTTTAAAAGGTCCCTCACAACTCCTGAGATAAAAAAAAAGGAAGAAGTGTCCTTTCTTTTTAGATTTTCTGAAATGTTTCATTCTTAATGTGTTGTTACATTAATTAATTGGAGATCTTTCAACAAATCATATATTATCAAATGGTTTTAAAGTTAAACACTCAAGTGCAGAACCATCTGATAAAATCATCGCTTGTTCCTTGTACCTAAATTCCTGTGCTTCCAGAATATGTGTCTGTTAACCGGAAAACATGCAAGTTGAACTCTGACTTACTTTCCAAACTGGTTAAGCAGAAAATATTCCCCGGACACTGTTTTATTCAGAAGTGCCAAGTCTGAGGAGGACGGCTTGTTTACGGTCATCTATTATACAAGAACTGAAGCTCCAGTACTTGTTTGAACAGCTAAGTGTGACTTGCTAATTATAGGGGTAAGTGCACACATAGGACATGCTCTGGTTCTGTGGAATTGATTGTGGGACTGGATTATAATGGCCTTGAGAATTACAGAGGATGTGCTTCGACCCCCCACCCCACCCCTCCCACAATATGACAACAAACCAATCACATGCTACATCATCTGCTGTCCTCTGGAGTAAGAACTAGGTCGCTCTTGATCAGGAGAATCACCATACATCTGCAGGTTCAAGCACATGCATTACACCAGCCAAGAGCAAGGAGATCATTATGGTCTGCTCCCCCACCAGACCATAATTTAGTTTAAGTACATTTGCTTTCCATTTGGCGGCACAAAATAAATTATTTGCATTTATTTCATACAGTAGCATACTTTTTGTGTTACAACCTTTTAATCACATTGTACTAAAATAAGCAACAGTCTGACCTCTGACCCTTTCTCCAATAGTAGCCTGCTTTATTACAGCCTAATCCTTAGCTCATCTTACTCTTTTCTACATGTATTTCACTTCTCCTGCATTACTTGCACATTAGTCTTGAAACATTCTCTTGACCTTTTTCTATTTCTAATCTGTTTTATTGTTTCTTTATTTGTTTTATATATGCATTGTTTTATATATGCATTGTTGGAGAAGCATGCAGATTCCATTGCCATAACTGCACTGTAGCTACTTTGAATATGACAATAAAGCCTTTGAATCCTCTATCTTTTGGTATGGAGGCTGTAAGTGGATATACTGATGGACAACCTCTTTTGAATGTGTTTTATTTGTTGTAAGTAAGTTTTCTTTATAGGTGTAAGCATTTTCTTTAGTATGTCATAAGAGCTGACAGGAGAAGTCTTCATTTAGTTAGCCATGGGTGGCTAAGCTAAAAGTGTTTCAGCGTTGGTGCCCTGCTAAAATCTGGAAAAACAAAGTCAGTCATACACTGACATGTAGGTGGAGAACTTCACCTTGAAATGCCTGTTACATACCCCATTTTTGCTGTATTTCTGCCTCTTTCGTTGAGTCGAAAATGATCCTCTCGGTGGTCTCTTGAGGGCGATGTGAACAGCCTAGCTTCAGCTTTTGATGCCCCTTCTCTGTGTGTCCAACTTAACGCCGCTGTGGTTGTTGTGGCTTCACGGCCACGGAGCTCCTCTCAGTCCAGACATGGGCTTGGTGGTGGTGTTGTTTCTGTCATGCCCTTGTTTGAGTACATTTTTGTCTGATGGTTTCATCCAAGCAAACGTGTCTGTGCATGCATGATGAAAGCAGCGGCAGCACTGACTGCTAACTAGTAGTTGCAACCGTTAGCTAAATAAAACTCCTCATAAAACCACGATTAGCGGGCTAAACTCGGGGCCACACAGGCAGGAAAGGCAGTGTGATTTATAACATCATTTAGGCTGTTAAAGTTGCCTAAATAAAAAGAAAAACTATTCGGAATAGACAAACGAAAATGTTGTCTAACCGGTAAAACTGCGCAAAATATGATCCACCCGTTGCTAGCAGGATTAAAGTAACGTTACTCCGTTAGCTGCTGCTTGTGTGAACAACAATGTAACACAACACTGAAATATGACAGATGTAGATGTAGTTATCCTCAGCCGAAAAAACGTCCAATAAACCGACTTCTCATAAATCCCGCTTTCAGACGCTGGCTCTTTCGTGCAGTCCGCTGTGCCATTAAATTAAATTCCTTCAACCGAGTTTGGCATTAAAGAGTTGTTCCCTGCTGCAACCCATTCCTCTATTAACCCCGCTCTGCGATGGTTGGTATCCTGCTTCAAGAGAGAGCCTCATCCCCGCTGTTTGGGAGAAAACACTTGGTGCATAATCAGGGTTTTATCATCACCAACGAAGACAGCTCCAGCTTCACCGACGTTAATGTTAACCGAAAAATGTATAGGGCTGTATCTGCAGTCACTGATTTAAAAATAGCTGATTCAATTTACTGTTCTTTTTCTTCAAATGTTGAACCGGGATTCAAATGATGATCCTGATGCTCCATCGGCCGGTTCATCCTCTTATCATCCGCCTGTCTGGTCCATATCAGCCCGCATCTCATTCATTTAACTCGGCTCCATCCACCACTGCTGCCCTGTACGACGTCACCACGTCACCGCTGAAATGTTGACGTAATTGGCAAAAGTGTTTCCTCACATCCGGTGTGTCTTTTTCAAATATACTAAAGCTATGCATGTTGCAGTGGTGAAAGATGTACTCGTAGTATATAGATAGTTAAAAAAACCTCATTGTAGAAATACACTGTTACAAATAAGAGTAACCCTTTTACAGAATGACCCATTTCAGCATTATATTATTGGATTCAAGATCCTTTAATTTCACTCCAAAAATACAAACTAGGCATACAGTATATGGAAGCACAATGTCGTTATCCACTCAAAAAACACTAAGAATTGTAATTATTCATTCATTATGTATGCATATCTGTGAAAAAACAGTTGTATTAAGGATTTATATATTTTAAGAAAACCTGGTAGGCCTACTCTTTACAAATATTTGTTTTCATGGCAATGAATAATTACAAACACTGTTTTCTAGAGCACAAGGGGACATCACTAAATGTCTTTGTTTTGTCCAAAAAACATTACAAGACCGCATTATGATCAATTTATAAAAATGTGGGACATGTATGTAGTATAGAGAGATAAGTAGTTATCAGTGACGCAGAAACACATTATATTATTGTATATTGTATGCATTAAACACATTATTTCAACATTATATGCTACTGATGATTGCCATCTTGTGGACAAATATTGATATTGGCAGTACTTAAATGCACAGATCCTTAATATTTTTAATAAACCAAACAATTAATTGGCGATTTAATTGATGATGAAAATATTTGTTATATATTGATTGACTAAAGATTTTTCTTACTTTTGGCACTTTGTTGCTAATAGTTTTATAAGATTTGGAATATGGTCCTTGTAACAACATATTTGTAATCTACCACTATGCATGTGATTTGTATTAAAGGGAGTTCACGTTTAATACGGTACCATTTAGCCCACATTTGTCATGTCCATTGAGCAAGACTTTGATTTATAGAAGGTATTTTACACATGAAGACAACTTGTGCACAGATACGACCTGTTGAGTAAACCCCCCCTAACCTTCCTGTCCTTCATTTCTCACACAGTTTCCCTGACACGCAGCAGGATAGACATAAACAGGTGCAAGGTTGATATTTGCCTTGGGTGAATCATGGGTCAAGAAAAGTAGAATTTAAAACACATTATGCAGATTTGATCTTAAACATTAAAGTATTAGATTAGGCCATTCATATGTGTTTTTATTGGGTACAAATTTGATAAATATGTTATTTACCCATTTAGTTTTTCTCACAACATGGCTAAAGCCTAATATGTTTTTTTTTTTTTTATCCCTTATTGGTTTTGCACAACAACAACAAAAAACAAATTAGAACTTGTGGGGCTATAACAGACAGGCTCCTGACATTGGATACAGGCTACATTATATTTAGACGTGGTAAGAACCATAAAGCACAGGCATTTTACATGATGCTGCATTTTCCACAGTTCAAATTCGTCACAGGCCACAACTAACTAACCCAGATTCACCTATTTATTGTTTATGCCAAATGCAAGGGTTCATCCTGTGTAAACAGAAATTAACTTCCATGCATGTTACAAATGCTTGAGATGAAACACTGGAAGACCAGTCTTCTATTTCAAGATTACGCTGAGCATGAAGTCTCAACTGGAACACGCTTGGCTTAGAATGAGATCAACAGAGCAGCACTGAGTTGTGTTGAGAGGTGAAAGCAGATTAATCAAGATATTACAACAATGGATGCTCTGACAGAAGAAGTGGCACCGTCGGATGTGGACCCTGAGATGACAGCGCTGACACCCGAAGATTTTACCGGACAAAACCTCGAGGCCAGTGATGAAGTGGAGAACCTTAGAAACAGGTACAGATCAGTTATTCTAAATATTGTTTTTTGGAAACATTACTTCAGCTCAAAGTCAAAGTTTTCTGTGTAATATGGTTAATTTTATTTCATTTTCAACAAGTCTCCAGAGGTTCATTCTACACAAGTCAATTGGATCTGTTTTTCGTATGATATGAGATTTCTTTAGTGTGACTAACCTGTACGTGTGTCGCTCATAAGTGCTTAGTATACATTCAGTCTATTAGGAACAGCTAGCTTAAATTAATGTAACCTAATAGGCTACAATGAATTCTCCCTTCATGGATTCATTACCAAGTTACATTTTGAACTTGTTATAACATGGTGTTGATTTAACTTTACAATCGTGTTACACAAAGAGGGCTTTCTGTCCTTTGGCCTAGGGGTGGACAAAACACAGACACCATAATCAATACAGTTCAACAACACTTCAAACCAAAGCCTCCACAATGATAATAAAGTAACACAGTACATGTCTCTGAGTAAAATTGACTCAAATTGAAGAAAATGTAACTCTAAAAATATTACATTTGGTCCCAACCTATATAGAGTAAAATGTACTCTTTGTTCAGAGTTGTATTTTTAGAGTTCATTTTACTCTATTATGTGCTTAGATTTGACTCTGCTTAATGGTTATTTACTCTATGTAGTGTATATTAAAAACAACTCTACTGCCATTTTACTCATAATAGAAGGTCATTTTACTCAGAATAGAATAAATGAACCATAATGATCTTTACAATAAAAAAGGTCAATAAACCAAAGTGCTTAAGGAACATGAGTGGGCGTGTGTGAAGCTGACCATTGAGCGGCCCGACCAAGCAAGGAGGCAGAGGCAGAGAGTTCAAATACAACCCGGTGTGGGCATTTATTCCTCTTTGTGGTACAGGATACACAGCCTCAATATGACTGTCTCACGTGAACACACACACACACACACACACACACACACACACACACACACACACACACACACACACACACACACACACACACACACACACACACACACACACACCACACACACACACACACACACACACACACACACACACACACACACACACACACACACACACACACACACACACACACACACACACACACACACACACACACACACACACACACACACACACACACACACACACACACACACACACAGGAAAACAGAACCTAAATACACACAGGACTAATCAAACCAACAAGACACAGGTGAGGAGGGAGGAGAAACACAGGGCACCAGGTGAACGCAATCACCAGCAACAGACAAGAGGGGGGGGGGGGGGGGGGGGGAACACTTTTCAAACTAAAACAGGAAACAGAGACAGACAAACTAAAACATAGACAGATCGTGACAAATATATGCATCAATTACATATACATGCTTCCTGTGCAATGTTTTAGCGTGGAACAAATGAATATACTTCGCCAATAATGAAGCTATATAATCCGTAACGGAGACTGAGATCTATGGCCCCAGAGATCAATGGCCCCAGAGATCTATGGCCCCAGAGATCACCTCCGTTACAGCGTGGTCATGGTTTAACTCCAATAGAATTGACTCTGCATTTTTGATCGCACTCTAGAAACTATGAGTAATAAATACACTCCAAAATGATTAAATATCACTATTTCAGAGCAAAATAGTAATTACTCTGGAAAAAATACTCACCAATATTTCCTGTGTAGCTAAATTATTCATTTTGTAGCTTTTTTCATATTTAAATTGTTCTAATCCAGTTAACAAAAAAGCTCAAACTATAAAATCTAGGCCATTTAAAGCTGTTATTTTAAAATAAGTTCATTTCACCCGGGTTTCATCTGATGCTACTTCCCGTTTTGGCTAACATTATTAGCTTTACCGGACTGACTTTTTCAAAACACAAGAAAAAAAACATGGTTTAAAGTTACTTTCTGACAGAAATGATAGAAACACCCGCTTTGATTGTGCATTATTATCTCTAATATCGACTATCTTATGTTTGTCTGCCTTTAGTTTACGAGAGGTTGTCAGCGATGACAACGTCCAACCTAAGATGCAATGCCTGATGATGGACCCCTCCTTCTCCATGGTAACTATGCAAGGCGAGGACAGCGGCATTGCATGGGAAACGACCCCGAGTCGCAGCAGCACGCCATGGACCTCTGAAGCTGGAACTGTGGATCTGAGCTCTCCGGTCGCAGTGCGGCCTGCAACACCTGGGTCTGTTCCTGCAGGGAAAATCATCTTTGTCATGGACGACGAGCTGTTCTCAAGACGGAAGAGAACTAAAGAGAGGAAGAGAAAATCCGAGAGACAACGAGTTGTAGAAAGTTCTGAGAACATCTCAGGAAGACCGGAGTTATTCGAAGTTTCACAGCCAAATGTAAAAACTGAAGACGGACAAGAAGAGGAAGCGAACGATCCAATGGTGGATAAAGAGCAAATGCTGTTTAGATTAGTGTCTGAGGGCTCTGAAATCCTAAACATTGTCGTTCCTCCGAAAATGGCCACTGTGGATGAAGAGGAGAGCAAAGTAATGGTGGACAACCTTTCTTATCTAGAGGACAGCCTTGTTCCTAAAGCTAGTGAAGAGATTCATTATGATGATCTGGTGTTTACAGGAATGGACGAGGCAAGTGATGACCAGGTCAATCCCTCGTCCTCCATTGGTCCAAATAAAATGGATCCACCTGGGGCTCCAGTGGCCCGACCTCCAGGCAGAGCAGCTGCCGGCAATGCGGACTACTTTGAGGCGTTCACCTTGGTTGAGGCTGAGGCTCCAGGAGGTCCTGCTGTGATCGCGCAGGAACAGCAAGAGGAAGAGGAAGAGGCTGTGACTGAGATCCAGGACACTGCGGAGACTGAAGACCACACCACCACCACAACAACAAATAAAGAAAATGACAAGTCAGACACAATCAGCCTGGAGGAAATCAGCAGCGAGCTTCTAGATGAAGTATTCTACGGCGGTACAGACAACTATATGAAGCCTCTAGAGAAAGAAGACGAACGCCCACCCTCTAGACTCCCATCAAAACCGAGCGGTTCAACTTTGTTTGGAAGCCAAGAGGACATCCTGACTCCAATCTTTCTACCAGAAGGACCTCTCAAAATTATTGACCAAATTTTACTGGAGGAGCCCAAAGCCATGGCTTTCCTTTACACTGACCTGTACGAGGAAGCAGTCGGCTGTCGGGAGAAAGAAGAGGATACAGAAAGCATGACATCTGAGAAGTCTTTTCACAGCAGGCATTCAGACAGAGAAGCCAGGGGATATTTAGAGAAATATGTCCTCATAGATGAGACACCTGCATTGGAAGTGGAGCCAGCTGAAGAAGTAATTAGCCCAGAGGAAGGTTCTCGGGTATTGGCCCAAGATCTGTGTGATTTTGATGATTTGTTGCCTGAGCCAGAACAAGGTGGGGTGCCAAATTCAGAGGAAGAAATCACAGACTTCTTCAGAGCCAGTGACAACTCTTCTCCATGTGATGTAGATCCTTTCCCTCGGTCACCTAAAGAGGATGAAGCCCAATCAACTACAAAAACCAAACAGAAGACAACTAAGAAAGTCTCCATTAAGGTAGAAAAAGTCCCAGAAGATCCACTTAGCGTCTCAAGCTTTGAGTTTGTCTCAGATGATCCTTTCTGGGAAAGAACAGATGAACATCCTGCGGCTCTGGACGAGAAAGATGTCAGTACAGATCAGGAAATGTGGAAACAAGATTTGGAAAAGCAAAAGCCAGTTGCTCCTCCCAGGAGAAAGGCAACATCCTCTTTTAAGGCATGTCTCGACCTCACACCTCTGACTCCAGCTGACGATATCATGCAGGAAAAAGAGGAGGCTGGTGGAAAGGAACAGAGGGTGGAGGAGAAAGAGACGGCATCACCTGCAGAGACTGCAGATGAGGGAGATGGGGATGGAGAGGAAATGATGCAACCTATCTCCAATGATGCTCTAATGGAAGATGCCTTGGTTGCTGAGGAGTCCCCACAAACGGAAAGTGTAGAAGATAACAATGAAATAACATTCAGAGACACAACACCAGCTGCTGCCGAGGAAAAAGACACTACAACAGTAGAAGAAGAGGACACAACTGAAACTGAAGCAGCTACAAAACAAACTGAACCAGAGGAAGTAAATATTACGTCATCAGAATTGGTGAAAACAGAAGTTAATCCAGAAAAACTGAGTGATAGGTCAAATGAACCAGCTAAAGATAAAGGACAGTGTGTTATTCTTTAACTGAACTATAGTGTCTTTAACCAGTTTGTTTTTAAGTACCCTGACGAACTCATTCAATGTCTTAAAATCACAGCTGAGGTACTTTCTAAAAAACCTTTCTATAAAGACTGCAAAATAGTTTTTTTTTGTAATTGAACACATTTTCAGAGAAGGACATTTTCCTTCCTTTCTCCAGGTTAGCCCAGGCCCTGCAGTGTGGACTTGTGACAATAGAGCATGAATTATAGTGTTTTGTTTTAAAGAGGTGAGGGTCATGGGTGTGAATAAAAAAGGTGAGAGTGCATGTGTCGTTGTGACGTTAGTGGGGGATCTTCAGCTAAAGATAGGCCTCTCTGGCTGTAAACCTGACACCTCGTCTCAGCCAGGAGTATACGTGACCTCTTGTAAACAGTCAAAAACCTGTGTATGTGCATTATACTTTCTACTTCTTAATGTTTTCCAAAACCAACATTAACGCTGAATTAAAAAAAAATTGCGTGTCACTGATTCCATGTTACACCACCATGTTTGTGACTGTGTATAGAGGGTTTCTTTTAGCCAGGACTGTACTAAGATTGGGCAGTGCAGTATTTGCCCCGACATAATCAAAAAAGCCGGTTTATGTCAAGAATTGCAGATATGGTTGCTCCTATGCCTGAGTCCACAGATTCCCATCTGGAGCTCTGCAGTGTTCCTGAGCACTCATTGTATTTCGACACCTTTTTAACACACAGAGCAGCAATAAGCAACATGAAATAAATCAAATTCAACATTTATAATAGAGAACTTGATAAAAAAAAAATTATTAAGTTACAGTCACAAGTAAGTAGCTACAACATAGGCCATGCAGCAGCACATATTTAAAATACACAACTAAAGAATATCATACCACATCGTTATAAAAGGCTAGTTAAGCATATGAAGAGGAAACTACCAGATAATTCTAAATAAACACATGGAATAATTCATAAATAAACACATGGAATAATTCATAAATAAGAAACAAAGATAAGTATAGGTGCGGTCAAGCATTATACTTTTAAATATTTTAACCGAATATAAATATGTTATGGTCCTAATTATGAGTTTGAATAAAAATCGGAGACATCCAGTGTTATGAATGAGTATTTCCCATCAGTTTTTACTTCAGTCACCTTTTTTCCTCCACATCGACAGGTGGCAGCTTTGAGTTCATGGTTTACCATTAGGACATAGAAATACAGTAGATAGAGTAGATATGCTAATTCACATAGCTAATAAACACATATTTTATTTGGCCAAATTCTCCAAATACATAAGCATACAGTAATCATTATAAAAATAAAGAGACTAATGAAATAAGTTTTCGTTTTATTTATATATTTTTCGTATAACCAGTTAGCTAACATATCAGTTTAGTATACCGGTTTGTAGGCATTCTAGTTGGTGTATTTCTATGCTGTGTTTTACAACATGGGATAAGCATAGGTGATAAGTTAGCTTTTTGCTAACTCCACCATGGACAATGTTCCCAGTTTTTGTTCTCCTGTCTCTTCTGAAGAAAACGGAGCAGAAAACGGTGACAGCTCGTCGAATGAAGATGGATTAAACGACGCTTTTGGCGACCTGGCTGCCCTCCCGGTCGAGGTGGGCGAGAGAAGACCGACGTGTTTACGGTGCCGGTGAGCTGAATTAAAGTGAAGCTAATGCTAGCTAGCTAGCTAGCTAACCAGTTAGATTGGTTGGAAACCCTCCTCCTCCTCATCCCATTCTTATTCTCCTCAAGTTACTGGCATGCTTTAATGAGGGAGCAGATTAATGTCGTTAAAGAAAAGCTGAAGACCAGCTGAAACTGAGAGATGTGGGTTTATAGGCTGGGATGTAATGGTGCAATCACAGTCTTCAACTTTCCTCCCATGTAGTCGCCCTCAGAAGGTGTGTCTCTGCCCTTTTCTTCCAACACAACCCCTGGAGGTCTCCACATGTCTGTACATAGTGCAGCATCCTGCAGAGGTGAGTACTAACATGTAAAATGTGGCATACATGCCCAACACACAATGACTACTGTTTGAAAGGCTTATACATTATATACTATTAAAAACAATAGTCAGGTTAGGTGCACATACAGTACCAGACAAAAGCTTTGGCATACCTTATTTTTCAGTGTGTTCTTATTAGTGTAATTTTGTACATCATAAGGGAATACCCAAGACACCAAAAATAGGTATATACGTGGTCAGGAAAAAAAGTTCAAGGCAAACAATGTTTTGTATTTTTGATTATTCAATATAGTATTTGTATAGTATTTGTTTTTATTAAAGCATTGCCCACTGTGGTCATTATCTCAACCATCTTCATGAAGTATGCTCCTGGTATTGTATGTCCAAAGTAATAAGAAAGATGGAAGCAGCGATGCCAAATGCTAATAATTGGCCAGTTCCAAATAGTCCTGTATACAGTATTATTACATTGCATGTTTATTTTTTTTTGTCTGGCTGATGAATTTAAATGTGTTGTCCTTTCCAATTTTCAAAACCAAAAATCAACTGCTCCTTCCAATGAGATAGCTAAAGAAAACCAGGCATATTTGTACAAGAGGCTCATGGTTATGCCTTTTCTAACCTCCAGTTTACTTTCAGGAGAGCAGAGTTCTTCGCACAGTGCCACTACTTGCTGCTTGTTTGCCACAAGGAAAATGCAATGTCATAGTGGGAAGGAGATTCAATGAGGAAAAGTAAGAAGTCATTCTCCAATTTTAGCTCTCCGCCACACCATTGAAACACTTTTGTCTCTGAATTTACAGATATATTGAGTTTTTTTTCTTCAATTTTTCCCCTCTCAGGCACCCGGAGCTGGCTGCGGTGTGTCGGGACAGCAGGACGCTGATCCTGTACCCAGGTCCCAAATCCCAGAACCTGGACGAGTTGGTACAACACCAGGAAGTAGGCACAGGGAAACACAATGTGATCATTATAGACGGCACCTGGAGCCAGGCCAAAAACATGTTCCTAAAAAACAGCCTGTTTCACCTGCCTAAACAGGTGTGTATAACTGTGTTTTCACAATAAAATAGGTTTGATGTGATGTTCATTTTGTCAAAAAGAGATAACAAACGTTGCCTTTCAGTGTGTCATTTGACTAATGTTCATTTCTCTTCAGTGGCCTTAAAGTTGATTTTGTGCAACTATTTAAGTGCATATTTTAAATATAAAAGTTCTAATCCTTAACATTTTCGTCCAGGTTGATAGGGGGATATCAGTGAGGACTGGTGGTAACAAGTGTTTATGTCCCATAATTTAAGGGTAGAAAACACTTGGTATAATTGAAGATCAACTATTGTATCTGTTTTAATTCCAGGCAAAATAACTTTTATTATTTGAAAGAAATCAGTTAATTTCTCACCCTTCTGATCACCTCTGCTTTGGGTCACCAGGTGCAGCTCAATAGGACTCTTTCCAGTCAGTATGTGATCCGCACACAACCCTCCAACATCTGCCTGTCCACGCTGGAGTGTGCTGCTGTCTCGCTGTCCATACTGGAGCAGAATGACGACATCCAAGAGGTGACGTGATGAAATAATGATGATTAATATATATAGCTGTTTAGTAACACATCCAGCAGATATGGAGCAGCATTAGCATTTATTTGGGGTTGTGTTTCTGAAAACAGCTTCCTGTGTCTGGGAATGAGGGCATTCACTGAACAAAAACAGTAAAGTCGCAGGCTGTAAAAACAAAATAAATTAGTTGAAAGACCTTCAAATGATTCACAGAGCTGAGAGGAACTGCTGTAAATACATGTAGGTTCATTAATATGAGCAACCCTTTTCACGTACACGTTATAGTTTAATTCATTGTTAACTGTAGCTAAGTCAAAAACTGACCAGTGAGAAGTCACCCAAATCAAAATAGAGTACATAGATTTGGTTATTTTTGAGAGTTACAAACAGAGGTTGCAACGCCAACAAGAAACCATTTTTTTTACACCTTCTCCATTTGTGTGTCCAGGTTCTGCTGAGGCCCCTGAAGGCTCTGTGCTCCTTCCAGCTGCAGCACGGTGCTCAGGTTCACCATAGCAAGGAGCATTTACTAAAGAACGGCATGTACGACAAACCCATGCCCAAGAACAAACGCAAGATAAAGAGGATGGAGAAACTCGTCACTGACCACAATGTCTGCCCAAGATGAGGGAGAGACTGAGCAGAGAAGCTCGACTGATGCTGCTCAGGACTGTTTCATCAGAGCAGCATCAGGGCGCACATGTGGAAACCACTGGACCTTTTGAGACTTTTTTTGTGTTTATTGCTGGCAAACTTAATTTATATATTTGTCATTCAATTTTAAAAAATAACGACAGGTTAAAGTCGTAGTTTAAATGTCCTGGTTTGACAATAAATCAGGTTTTATTGTTTTAAAAAACAATTTACATTGTTCTTCCTATCTTTTTATAAACACTATGGTGGTTTTGTTGTGATTGATCTGGAAGGGCTGATGTTTTTTTTGCAAAATCTTTACCCAGACATGTTACAAAATAAAATTACATTTTAAACTTGTTATATTTATTGAAAATACCAGACACCTACAATACAGTAGAAAAAAGGGACAATAAAAAATATATTGAACTGTGTTTTTATGTAAGGTATGGAGGTTTGTTGATGAAGTGAGCACTTTGCAAACACTTAAAGGTATAGCGATAATATATTTTAATGCATCTCATAAATGTAATTGCAGACCTACAAGGCAAGGCAAGGCAAGTTTATTTATATAGCACCTTTCAACACAAGGTAATTCAAAGTGCTTTACAAAAATGGAAGACATTTTAAAAATGGCATTTAAAATCAGTCATTAAAAAGAAAAGATAAAAAAATAAACATTAAAAGAAAAAATACATGGATAAAAGTTAAAAGTTACAGTGCAGTTTAAGATGTGAATAGTTCAATTAAAAGGATTTGTAATTGGATATTGCACAGAAAGAGCAAAAGTAAATCTGAATGCATATAGTTTTCTATAATAAATTGATACCATTATCCTATACATGGTTATTAAATCTATCCAATTCGCACTTGTACACAGCAAAGCACACATAGTGGCATTCTTACCAAAACAGGTATTAGTAGCTGTTAAAATACACATTTTTGGTCTTGTTTGGTCTGACAGCTGGTGAAATTAATTTTGAGATGTCAAAGAAAGTCATCATACCATTTTTTTTTAATGTCTTCATTACAAGTCTTAAACTTGAAGAAGTACTATACTGACTGCCATGTAGAGTAAACAACGCTGAAAAAAATAAAATAAAGTATAAATATATATATATACATACATTAAAAACATCACATTTATATATATGAACAGCCTTTTATTGGTGAAAGATTAAAAGGTCAGATCATTTACATTTCGTAAAACAAGGGAAAAAATGTGTCTATAAACATAGATGTGGCATTATATACTAGAATTAGAATTGGAGGATGAAACCCTCTTTAATGGTCACACACACATGCACACAGCACACACTCTGCATTTAACCCATCATTTTTACTTGGAGCCTAGTACAAGGAGCAGTGTACAGTACAGTATACAGTACAGTATATAGTAGAATACTTGGGCAGGTATGATTCTCGTAAACATGTTAAAATTATGATATCATCGAACAATGAAGTACCATCCTGAGGACAGAATCTCAGAGGGGAGTAAACCACATAATGCTTTGAGTGGGTAATTAAATAAAAACAATATAAAGAAGCAGTCTGTTTTTTAGCCTGTTTAATGGTACAATATTAATGTACTGCTCATATTGTTTATAAAAAACGTAGAAAATAGACTTTATTATAAATTGTACTATATGCATACATAAGAAACGTGTGTAACATGTATTTTGTATTCACTTGACAGTATTTTGTAACATGTCTTGATGTTGTGTTTGGTTGGGAAGCTGCGCATGCGCGTGAGGTTCGGCCCCGGTCGTTCCGCCATCTTTGTCGGCTGCCCATTGTTCACTCCGGAGCTAACACATCGGCGGGTTATCACTTCATACTGCGCATTAAAATAACCTGACGGTGTCGCGGGCAACTGCCTGAGACAGTCGTGGATTTGCTCTCAGGGTTTGCGACTTGTTCTCGGCCAGCAAGTTAAAACAGAATGGACGATGACCAGCCCAAAACCCTGTAAGTGTGTGTGTGTATGTGTGTCTGCGTTACCGTTAGCTAGCCTCTTGTATCCGTCACGTAGCTAAATTAGCATCGATACAGCGTATTACAGTCTCAAAACGGAGAGATTTGCACCATATACTCAATAAGAAATATATTTTGAGTGTATATGGTGTATCCTTAATACGACTTAAAAACATCTTAATACATCGTAATTATCTCACATCTGGAATATTCGGCTCATTCATAAGTGAATCCAGAAATGGATCAAATTAACGCGTAGGAACCATACACTATGTGTACATGGGTACACACTGCTCACAAAGGAACATTCAATAATTATTCCTTTCGATACAATGTGATGTATGCCGAATGCAGTTTTGTATTGCACAGAGTAGCCATATGTATCAGAGACTGTTGTTAGTCGGACGATGAACAGGAGAACACTGAATTGCCTAATTTTTCTATGGAGTTTGGTGTGCCATCATCCATAGAGTTTCATGGGAGACATAAATTCACAGGCCTAGTAGACTACTTGAATGGATAGCTCTGTTACCACAGTACCCTTCCTCAAAATAATCTAATACTGATGTTAATGTGTTTATTTGGTTAACGGATTATTTTAGTTACCTGGTTTGGATTAAATTACATCTATTAAAAGCCAGCAGTGTTGTGAGTGACACAAGGTCAGCCGCAGACATTAAAATATCTTAGATGTCCCTACTTGCACTTTATGTATAGCTTATTTAATGCAGACTAAAGAATATTTTGCAATTTAACGTCCTTGAAATTGTATTATCTTGAGACATGTAATTGAATCCAGAGGGAGGAGTGATTACTTCTGGGTATTTGTTTATTTTTTGTGTGTAAATGTGTAGTTTTGGCATTCACACATCCATACATTTCTTATGATAAGATTCTATGGGATATTGGATTTAAAAAATGACTTTGTATGTTACAACCCAAAGCACAACAACACGATACAATACAACAAACTGACCACCAGCCCTTTATTCTACTGAGGCAAACTCGGGTAATAGATACTAACTCAACGCAGTTTGAGAATAATTAGGTTGGCCACCGGGGAGGCAAACACCCTTTTACCTACAAAACCAAAACAATTAACAAACCCACTCCCAGATCTGCTGAACAACTTGATATTTATGTCCCAGGCCAGATTTTCATTTAGTCACCACTCACCACAGTAATAATTGAAGGAAAAGCTTGACCCTGCTGTCAGATGTCAAATCTTCAGTTACATCACAAAACGACTAACAGTATTGTCTGTGTCTTCTGTCCATTGTAGGTATGTGGGGAATCTGTCCCGGGACGTGACAGAGGCCCTCATCCTGGAGCTGTTTGGCCAGATTGGACCCTGCAAGAGCTGTAAAATGATAGTAGATGTGAGTTAATTTTTCATCTTATTCACTCTTTTTTTTGTGTGTGCTTGTTCTTCCTTGCTTGCTTGAGAAGATAACACATTTGGTAGTACGATCCGAGGACAACTGTCGGACAATGTATGAGAGTTCATACATCAACACTTTTCTCCCCGACCTTATGATCTGATTGAGTCGCTTCCTTATCTCCTCTGACGTTCTTCCCGAAAAATCCACATTTATTCCAGCATCTGGGATTATCTGGATAAACAAAATATAATTCTGTCATCTTGTATAATGGCCAAAGAAACTTTAAAGTCCCAATTTTTTGTATGTTACATTATACATATCTATGATGTAAATCATGTGTAGGCCCGCTTTTCCACCCATCAAATTGGTATCAGTTCAATTAGGAAAAGGCGTTGGTATCACACATTTGCATCCCTATTCATGATGGAGCCCACAATGTTTTCATTAGTTTGAAGGACTATCTTTCTGGTATTGTAGACGGATACTTTTTGATTTTGATACATGCAATTAAGTACTGCCTGGAAAACTATAAAACCTATAATTTTGCAGCCTAGTTAGCTTATTGCCAACATTTTAAAGTAGATGCAATGTCTCTTTTGTCTGATAAGTTCTGATTTGGTCCTGCTCTTCAATAACTAGCTACACAATGTAAGTTATTGTGCATGTTTGTTGACATTGTCTTACATTCTCTATGGTGTAACCCCGGGACTCTGCTGTCAATCAAACACTGTCACACCCCTCCAGCAATCAACAAAAGTGGTTGTTTTCCTCCTTTTTAACAATAAAAAACATTGACAATGCCTCTGAATAATATCTGTTTCCTGCCCCCTCCAGACAGCAGGTCATGATCCGTACTGCTTTGTGGAGTTCTATGAGCATAGACATGCCACGGCCACAATCGCAGCCATGAACGGTCGGAAAATTCTGGGTAAGGTAAGCTATCATATCTCCTGGGTGAGTCCACTACGGTGAGGCTGGGTGGGCAGGGGTGAAATGAAGCAGCTGGAAAAAACTTGTATCTTTTTTAGACCTTATCTCACATCCCTGTTCCTGCTCCACTTCACTTAATTTGGTTTAGTCCCCTGTGCACATTACTCTACTGTACACAGTCTGAAATGACCACACCGATCTCTGTCATGTTATTGCAGTATCTCAGTCCTTAAAACATATTTTCTAATTTCTCTAGAATGTCAGCCTTTGTTTTTACTTCAAATTGAGACAAGTCTGTAGATCCTCCACAAAGTGATTGGATTCAATACACAAAAGCTGTAATGGATTTAAAATAATCAGTCATTAGATTACCTTTTTAAAAGGCTATACGATTCAGAAAAATATATTTTGAATTGTATTTACCTTTTTAAAATGGACAAGTAAATTATGAATTTTGCAGATATTGTCACCATTAGTAATTTAATTAAGACTAATTGAAATGCTTTGAACAGGCACAAAAACTGAATATTTAAAAAAACATCTATTTGAGCTATATTGCTCTCATTGCACATTGTCTGATCAATATTAGAGTATTGAAAAAGCCAAAATTGACATTTTGAAATGTCTTGTTTGTCTAATGAATAGCTTAAATCTCAATAATGATTAGTTTTAGATTGTAGAAAACTAAAACCAACACATATCCACACCAGAGAAGCTGAAATTAGTTGGTTGTTTCCTGGCATTTTAACTTGCAAAATTAGCTAAAATAATGTTTATTTTATGACCTGAATGGATGCTGCATAATATAACTCAGAGTTTTGACATTTTACACAGAGAAATAAGATTGTAAAAGCATTTTCTAAAGCTTAAATTGTCTTTCAACATGTGTGTTTAGGCTGAGTTGTCACCGCACTGTTACAACAAATACTAAACACTACATGCAAATAAACTGATAACTTACATGTGTGTGTGTTTGCATAGATGTTAACATGGAGCTGTTTGGGCTTTTATTATCTGTTTCAATTAAGATTTTCCTTGAGTGAGCTTGCCATCTGTCTGACTGAGTTAACATGGCCCTGCTGTGTAATCATGCTACATGTGACTTTAATGGATGCTCTTCTGTCCCCTTACTTCTTTACTGCTATGTGTTCTTCTGCAAAGTTATTTCCACGTAGAATCCACGTAAGAGCAACTTCAAGAGAAATACATTCAGTTGAAAATATTTTATCCTCAACAGGTATTGAAGGACCATTTGAGGAGTATAACAAGTTCGTAAAAATCACTTGTTTGTAAGTCCCTTGTTATTTGGACCTTACTTCCTACAGTTTTTCTCCAAATTTTTACTAGACTGAAATGTTCCTGATTATGAAGGTGAAACCTTGATATCCCTTTTATATTCTCCACTGTATTTGTTCTGCTATTTTAATTAATGCAAAGGTTTGTAAACTTAGATAAATCAAGTTGTAGTGTTGGTTTAAAACGCCACTAATGGCATACAGAGACCACCTTATTTTAAAAAGTTCTCAATCACAGAATATTAAAGTAAAACTGGTGTGTGACAAAACCTCATCAAAGAAAAAGCACCTTCCTCTCTTCTGCAAGGAAACTTCCCTTCTCACCTTGTTTCCTCTTCCCTCGCTCTGTCTCTCTTTCAGGAGGTCAAGGTCAACTGGGCCACGACGCCAACCAGCCAAAAGAAAGACACAAGCAGTGAGTCCTTATTACTGTGGTTTCTTCTTCAAGGTTTAAGGGGTTATAACGTGGAACATATTTATACTGTTCTTATACACTTTTTATAATAAAAAACGTGTCTTTCAGAGCTACAGAAATGCACAAATAATATGTTTGTTTTTTATTTCTGTTTAATGCCTAGCATCTTGTATATTCCTTATGTAATGCACTACAAAACAATACTCTTTTACTCATCATACTATGTGTGTTTTTACTGTGTTAAATAATTGTTTGTATGAATACAAATTTGAATGCGTGTTGTTTTTTTTTAGGTCACTTCCATGTCTTTGTTGGAGATCTAAGTCCTGAAATCACAACAGATGACATTAAAGCAGCTTTTGCTCCATTTGGGAAAATATCGTAAGTATATTCTCATGATCATTATTTGTGTGTGTGATTCTTAATTTCTTTTATATATTATTCTATATCGCTTATTCAGATCAGCCGGGCTACACCATTGGCATTTTTAGTAAATGTGTATGAATGTGTTATGTTGCAGGGTTTTAATCATTCCACTTTTGCTATATTTTTTAATGTATTTTAATTTTTTGCAAGGACAAAGAATATATCAGGCTATGAATACACACATATACTTGTTAGCAGAAATATTCAGTGTTGTTGTTTTGTATTTCATTGGAATTGTTGCCAAAAATAATAATTTACAATAACATGCTGTATAGTGTATCATAAGAAATGCTACTGTGCAGTTTAGGTATAGACCCTAAACCCTTCCATATAGACAACTAAAATAATGGTAAATAATATCATGATAGTCATATCATACACTGAATTTCTCGACTAACTGTGTTTTTATATTTGTCACAGGGATTGTCGAGTGGTGAAAGACATGGCCACAGGTAAATCTAAAGGCTATGGCTTTGTCTCCTTCTTCAACAAATGGGTAAGTGTGCCAGTAATGCCCATGTGTTAGAGGACTGAGAAACATTAGCAGGCTCTGATTGTTGACTCAGTTGAAGCTCAGGGTTTACATACAGTGAGACGTTATGTGTTCGGTGTCTTTGACTCACTTTGGTGTGTATTCTTTCTGTATAACCAGGATGCAGAGAATGCCATCCAGCAGATGGGAGGACAGTGGCTGGGAGGACGGCAGATCAGGACCAACTGGGCCACAAGGAAGCCTGCTCCTAAAACTACAAATGAGAGTAAGTACACTAGAATTAAATAAAAGGCAATCGATGGACTGCATTTGAACTCTCCTTGCAGTCCAAAGGTTTTCCAGATTTACTCCTGACAACATAAAAGGACCCACTTTCCATTTGATATTTGTTTTCTTCCAATGAACACTTGTCTGTGTCTGAATAATAAAATCCATATATCAGATGGTTAATTCAGCACATACAGTAGATGCATACAGTTGTATTGTACAATACATATTTTGAGAAAGACATCAAATGAATAAAAAACTGCTCTAATCTTTTCTTTTAGCCACCAATGCCAAGCAGCTCTCTTTTGACGAGGTGGTCAACCAGTCCAGCCCCAGCAACTGCACCGTCTACTGCGGGGGGGTCACAACAGGACTCACAGGTGAGTTATATTTCTCAGGTCCCACCTAAAATATTTGGTGTTAATTGACAGCATGCACAAACAATTTAGAAAAATGTAGTTGTATGTACAGATATTCAACAGAAACAATATTATTCTTTACTGTGCATGTAGACCTTTTACAAAGACTCAACCATTTATTATTTTTCGCTAGTGTTTTTTTTTGCTTTTGATTTTGTTGCTAGTCGCTTTAAAGAAATATAATTGCTAAAAGGCTCTGAAAAGCTGCTAAATCTACCATTAAGATTTAAACCGTGCATAACTGGTTATATTTGAAAATGATCAGCCTGGCACCATTAATGACTAATTGATTGTAGCACCCTTATGTAGAGGCACATGTGAAAATCTCATCTTTTAAATATTTGTCTCTTTTTCACAGAGCAAACCATGAGACAGACCTTCTCACCTTTTGGCCAAATAATGGAAATCCGTGTTTTCCCAGACAAAGGCTACTCATTTGTGAGGTAAGCTGACTTGCAGATGAACCTGTCACTCAAAAAACCTCGCATTAAGTCATCATGCTCGTATGTTTTTATCAGATATCCTTATATATTTAATCTCCTTTCTGTGCGCAGGTTCAACTCCCATGAAGCAGCAGCTCATGCCATTGTCTCCGTCAACGGCACATCCATAGAGGGCTATGTTGTTAAGTGTTATTGGGGCAAAGAAACAACAGACATTGTGAGCCCCATTCAGCAGGTACAGATGCCCCAGGTAAGCACCAGGAGATTCCCCCACGCATCATTTATTTATTTTTCTGCAGTCACCATCCTGCACTGCTTACATTAAAGGAACCCTGCTTCACTGCTGGTTCACTTCACTGTGGTGCAACGTGATACTCTGCCTCCTGAAATATGAATTTGTATGTCAGCAGAACACGGTGAGCTTCGCAGCGCAGCCCTACAGTCAGTGGGGTCAGTGGTACAGCAACACAGCTGCACAGCAGATTGGGCAGTATGTGCCCAACGGATGGCAGGTGCCCAGCTACGGAGTTTACGGGCAGACCTGGGATCAGCAGGGCTACAAGTGAGTACCAGAGGTGACCACAGCACAAATCATTTCTTGTGAATCTTGTTTTCATGCAGCCATCTTGTTCATTTCTTTCTCTAAACCAGTTTGTCTGCTATCACCACAGCAACACCAAATGGGTGTTATCTATTTATATCACACTTTGATTGTTTTTCCAATAGAAAGCGGGTTTACATGCTCTCCCTCACTTAGGGATACGAGCAACAGGGGAAGCTTAATTTCTGAATATGGGACTATTTTGTTCTGCCTACATAATAACAATATTTACATCTATTTACCACGGTGAGCAGAGGGTTTGCAGTGGAAATGGCTTCACTAGATATGTGTTGGTGATTGAAGAAACTTCTGCACCTTTTTTATCATCATCTTTCATGTTGTCTTCACTGTTGACAATCTCTTTCAGTATAACAGTATAAGTCCTGTTTTATTGCCCATAACATCACCTATTTGTTCATTCTTTTACATGTAAAAGTCCTGAAAATTCCTTTGACTTTTGTAAATGAAAGTTCAAAAGTTATAGCTTAATTTGCAAGAAGTCTAATTTAAGCAGCTTAAGCTGTAGCTCCTTGTATATATAATACACATACAATGCATATAATAAATTAAATGTATGTGTTGATTAATGTTTTGAATTCATCTGAATCTAGAAAAGCAGCGGTTGTTGGTTAAATCCCTCCACTGCAAATGTGTGTTAACGGGATCAAATCTAAATCGAACAAAATACATTTCTTTACTTTTCATCACATATTGGCCTCTCTGTTTGCCTGATACAAATCTGACTGCAAGCTAAATCTTTAACAGTCCATAGGGTGCTGGTGTTGCACTTGAATACAAACAAGTTTTGAAATGTAGGGAAATAGCCTCAATAAATTGACCAACACAACATAGCTGAATCACATCTATAATGTAAAAGCAGGACACAGTTTGCAGACTGTCCCTCGCGCCACACAACATTGAATGTCAGAAATGTTCACATTGATGCTACGACATCTTCCATTAGCTTTCATCTAACTGTATAACCTGTCTGCCTTTACAGTCATTTACATGCTGCCGGTGCCGGATGGACAGGCGTGGGCGCAGTGAGCAACGGGGCCATGGTGGAGCCCGGGCAGGGCGTCAACGGGGCGGTGCTGACCAACCAGGCCGGCATGAGCACCGCCGGCTACCACACCCACTGATCACTCAGCACAGCGGGCCTCTGAAGTCTCTGAAGCCACAAGATGATACTCTGCTGGGGGAGGGAGGGCATTAGATGCTCTCTCTCTGAAACCACACAAAGTAATTCTGTTAGAAAGGCTGGTACGCCATTTTATCAACCTTAACCAGCCCATAACTTAACACCCACTGCCCAAATCTGCAAGTGTAAAGAAAAACCATCCACTCCGGGACACTTTTAAAACACTTTTAAAACAGCTAATTGCTAATGCACCTTTGCATTCTTGGGCCCATTTTATTGTTTGGCGTATTTTTGTAATGCCTGCAGATATCTGGCCAAATGTAAATTATATAACCATGTCAAGATATTTCTAGCACAGCCACATTTTAGTTTAAAAGGAAGATAGTAAAACACCTAGTTCTGTTTGTTTTCAGCCCCTCAGAGCCAAAGAGAAGGGCAGAATTTTATACCAACGTGTAACAATCATACAGGGAGAAGAGGCTACCAACGTTGCCACAGAAAGCACTCAGTAGTCCATAGGAAGTCATGCGATGTGTTGAGTAATGGGTGCATTGTTTTTATTTTTTCTCAATTTGAAGCTCTCATTTCTCACGTCTGTCCACATGTTACTAAAGTGAAAAACTAGTCCAAGCAAGTTCTCAGGGTGTGTCAAGTCATTCTGTGAAATGTAGGAAATCACTGAGAAGATAAAGTACGCAGTTTGAGGGAAAGTGGGAAAACAAGTAAGAATTCAGCGCTTCTCGACTGTCATCTCCCGGGACGGACTGATGAGTCTGTGGATAAGAAATGTGTGTGCTTGAGTGTGTGCATGAACTGATGCTTTTACACACAAGAACAATGTCCATTAATCTCCCCCTGAAACAGAAAGGACTACGCCATTATAATTTTTTTTGCAACGGATGAAATAGTATCATTTGTTTTTATTTTTAGCAAATTTAAAATGCTGACATTGTATAAAGAGCCTTTTTTTGTGTTTAATTTCGGGACTGTCTTATAGAGAAATGTTGCAGTGACACCGTTGAAATCATGTGACACATGAGACCTTTTATGTTTGTTTATAAAACATTAAGTGGCTGTCGACTTTATTTTTTAAATTGGATTTTCAATATCTCAAATAAACCAATTGCAGGGATTACTGCCACTCTTATCTTACTAATAGGCAGACAAATATTGCACAAATACTTAAGGTTATCTTTTCACAAAATTTGAATTACTAGTTTTTTTGTTTTTAAAATGTTTTTGCATTCCACGTTGTTTTCTGTTTTTATGTAAATAACCAAACGGTCTGTTTAATTGTACTGAATCTGTATAAAGACGACATGTTAATCAAGGGAGCGAGCTTGCTTCCTGTTGGGCTAATGGACTTCATAAACGGCTGTTCTACAGTAGCATCCCTGTCCAGTGTACAGTAGAGACGGTGCAACATTTGATTCTTCCAGAGGCTCGGACGACAAGCAGCATTGCTATGTAATGCAAAAGCCTTTCCATTCACAAGTAATGCATCATTTAAGTTATTCTGTCTTAAACCTAAACAATTGTTTTTATAGATTAAGAATCAACCGTATAAGGATCAGATTTTTGCACTGTGGTCACCATCATTTTTAACATAGTTAAACAAATCCATTGTGTTGCCTTATTATTATCATCAGTGAGTTACTTTTTAATTTAACCAAAAATCATCCAAGAGTAGGCGGTGCCTAAGAATGTGTTCAACCTATGTTTTGGCAAGGACAGTTCTGTTGATGCTTCAGTAACATGGTTTGAGTTTTTGCTTTGTCCCATTAAAATGCTGATGCTTAAAACTGCTCTCTGTTACGCTGTTTGCATCTTGAAGGGTTAACAAAAAGTATAATTTTGGTGTGATAGATTTATCTACAATCTACATTTATATAAATAGTATTTTTCTGTTCTCTAAAAGTGGCATATTATGTATTTCAATATTGAGTATAGATACAACCAATTTCTTCATTATACAATAATAATCTATCAATTTGATAGCTTTTTTTCATTTTGAACCTTAGTGCAAAATGTTTGAATGAATCATATTTGGCAAAAGGAAACTGCAATTCTTTAAATATGATAATCTGAGTTTTTATGTTCTTTGTAAGATTGTTACCAGAAGATAATGGAATAATGTAGGCTTATTTAGGTATTTTTCTGTATGTAAAGCTAATATAAACAGTCTATACATTGGTGGTATATTAAGCATTTATTTTACTTTTTGCTCGGGTAGAATGTGAACTTATTTATAAAAATGTGTTTATTATTCTGAAATAGTATTAAGAGGACTGTTTTACATCAGCTACTGTTTTACATCAGCTCTAAACATTGCAAGTCCAATGTTGACATAGTCAGGAGTTATCCATGTCAACTCATATAAAACAATGTCAGCCTCCTGTATTTAGAGCAGAGCACCTCCAGGCTCACACATCGAGATTTTAGCTGTTGCTATAAACACTTAAAATACAGTGGAAGTGGCTCATTACAATATAGATATAAAAGCAATATTCAGCATCCACCGATATGAACTACACCTCCCACAATGCAGCGCCTCAAGAGAGGCCGTCCCCTTTTTTGACCACGTGATCGCCTCCGACCAATGGGGAGTGTCGTTACAGGCGCAATGCGGTTCTCGGGATGTAAGGAGCAATGGCGACGGTCGAGACGGATTTGGAGGCCAGAGTAGACCTGAATGTGACCAAACAGAAGCCGAACACAGGTAGTTTGAACATTTGCTCTAAAAAACACTCACAGATAAATAACAGTGACACAGGTGGTGTGTTACCAACGAGGTGGAGCACAGTTTAAAATGTGCACGACACATTTGAAGCATTGCAAAGCATTTTAACTGACATTTTTCTGCGAAACTTAAGAAAGCAATGTGATTTGAAATAAAGTTAAACATTGCAGTTTTTATTTTTGATATCTATTTTTCAACTGACCTTTACCAACACTGTATGGTACATGCATATCAATTCATACCATTACTGACATTATGCTTGTACTGTTATACATATTCTACTCCACCTGATTTCTTACTGATTCCCTATTTGTTCCTTCATTTAATTCCTCATGTTCATACCTGGATCACAGTGCCTTTGCATATATAGCCTGTATATGTTTATAAATAGTGTTCGAGAGTAATGATCTACAAGTAATTCAACTATTGGTTTAATTACATTTTGAACAAGCTTGCTAGTAGGCTATTTCACCAACATTAATATTTGCATATTTATTCAAGAAGTTTTACCATTTGTTATGTTGTTAACTACTAAATCTACAAACAGATATAGGCCCATTGTTTTTACTGTGACCCGTTTTCAAGCTGGTCACAGCTGCAAGGTCTGCAAGTTCTTTCATATAGGAAGAACTTGCAGACTTCCTATATAAAAAGGAAGTCTGCAAGTTCAAGGCTATTTTAGTTAATGTCACAAAACTGAGTGACTCAGTAAGACAGGCCCATTTTAAAACCAGCTCTCAAGTTGATACAACTGTCAAAAAAGGTAAAGGTTGAAATAAAATATATTTTGGTATTTCATTATTTTTTACATTATATATGATATGTGAAAAAGTGGATATTTTTTCAAATAAACTTAGTCCAGTGACATAATTTTTATGGTATGGATCCATTTTGTTATAATATCGTATTACATGCTAATTTGATATTTTTTTGTGAATTAATGTGTGTCATGTGATTTATGTGTTGTATATGAATAAATATACACACACACAAACCATTTTCTGTAAGGTCAATAAACAACTTTAACTTCATTCTATCATATTCATGGCATTTATGTTTCTTTTTTCCCTCTTCAGCAGGTTAGAATCAATTTCCTTCCAATGGAGAGTCTGAAAATGGAAACAGAGGTGACTGTGTCCTCCTCAGTGAGCGTGGTCTCCTCCTCTGCTACCCAGACTACCATCTCTCAGGCCACCCTGGCATCGAAGCAGAGAGACGGCCGAAAACCCACAGCCACGACTCCCCCCTTCCTCTCCAACCTGGGGAGGGCCACCCTGCGGGGGATTCGCAAGTGTCCGCAGTGTGGCGTCTACAATGGCACCCGCGGGCTCAGCTGCAAGAACAAAGCCTGTGGGATTTCCCTCAGAAATGCTTCTACCACGGCGGGCAGGAAAAGCAAGAAATGTGGAGTGGAGGTGGTGAAAGTGATAATAGACAGTGAGGAGAGTGTCGGGAAAGAGGGTGCAGGAGGAGTCCTGGGTGGCGGCTCAGGTGGAGGAGTCCAGGTGTTTTCAGTGAGTCACAAAGGCAGAGGAGCCACAGCGACGCAGCTGGGCTTTGTTGAACTCGTCCCCACGGATACGGCTATAGCTACAGGAGACGGTGCCACCCTGCTAACTCGCATCAACCTGGGGCGCTGCTTCTTGCCCTCATGCAGGCAGGGTCAAAGGTCAAATCAGGGTGAGACAGAATCAGCGGTGGCCGGTTCAAAACAGTCCTCCGACAGCCTCTGCGTCCACATTAAACAAGCGATTGAGTGTCAGAGTCGCGCAACACCACTGACCTTAAAGAGCTCCGTGCTGGAGGGGCTGCAGGCCTCCATTCAAGCCAAGGAGGAGCTGTGGAGGCTGGCCACGGAGTCTCCTGGCCCCCTGGTGCAGCGCGTGGCAAAAGACACCCTGGTGGTGAAGTGCCACACAGATTCCCAGCATCCTCTGGGGCTGCTGCATCTCACTGTAGGAGCAGGTGGACTGTCGGAGGTTAAGAGCGAGGGGAAGGGCAGAGAGCAGCAGCACACGGTGTGTCACTGCGCCTGTCAGCTCAGCAGCAGGAGAGGTAAACCTGGTGCTGATGGAGCAGGTGGATCGTCCGCCAACTCTCTTCCTCCAGCTCCCAGCTCACAGCCCTGCCTTCACTTCTACGCCTGTGTGTGTGCCTTTGCAAGCGACGAGAAACTGGCAACAGAGTTTGCTGCTTTCATCAACTACACCCCGAGTGGTACGGTAACTGAGCCTGTTTTCTTCTGTCAGTTCAACATATTTAAAGGAATAGTTTGCAGGTGTCTATAGAGTTGTATCGATGCAATGATCAGCAATTCATTCGTTGATACAAAGCAAAAGAGTTGATATAAACCCTATCCTAACCCATTACACTTGTGTGTCAACATTTCCATCCAAGCAAGCCTTATCCCTAAACATTTAACAGTGCTGCTTAGTCATGAGAAATGTGGCACTATAGGTTCATTTTTATAATTTTTATATATTTGTTTTGCTTTTATGTCTGAAAGAGCCCAGTAATAAAATAGTCAAATCATATTTCAGTTGCATTTTTGCAATTTGATATAAATCTAACTTATGTTAAAATGGGCGTATGATGTTGTTTGATATGCCTGGCAGACCCCAAATTTAAATCAAATCAAATTTGTATTGTGTGATATTAGCAAATAACCCAATCTTGTCCAAAAAGTGGATTTAATATGGTACCGTAATGTGATTTTTACCCCGAGATAATTCACAGAAAAGTTCTTGAGGTAAAAATGTAAAGTGAATTCATTTCAAAGATGTTCCACAGAAAATCAAACATGTACTATTCTGTCTATCATTTGTTTGTTATTCATCTGACAGACACAACCAGCCTAGCTTTTACCCCTGTATCCAGTCTTTATACCGAGCCAAACGAATTGGCTTTACTCTCAGCAAGAAAGAAGAAGATATATTTATATTCCTTTTCATTTGTTTTAGTTTAATATCGAATGTGCTTATAATCCTTTTCTCTTCTTTCTTCCTTTCAGGTGTGCAGCAGAACGCCACCAGTAGGCTCTTCAGTCTCAGTGAGAAGCCTCTGCAGCAGGTCGAACCCTTCATCTCTCATCACACAACAAAGAAGCTTCGCCTGGATGATTCTCTCTCTGGTGCTTCATCATAAAACCATCTTTATATCATATTATCACTCATTAATGCAGGATGATTCTCCAAAGCATTGTTGTCTGAATCTTCTCTGTCTGTCCCATCCAACCTGCGTTTCTTTGATGTCCTGCCTCCGTGTAGCCCCCTCAGTGGCCTCTCTCTCTGGGTTGGGGATGGAGGCAGTGTCAGTGAGGAAAGCTGCTCAGAGGAAAGCCCCCGGTGCTGGGGGGCTGAAAGCTCCAGGTGCTGCCTCTCTGCACTTCCCCTCCCTGCCTTTTCATCTTCCTGCTGCCTAAATCTGTTTGTTAAAGAGCCTTACATCGTCTTAGACATCTGTCTCCATCTTTATCATCCCCCCCGTCTAATCCCGCAGCACTAATCCTGATCTGCTATTGAAAAGAACAGGGTCGCACTGTAGAGGAGCATATTTTAACGTTTAATTCAAAAACATTTACAGGCCTTTTTAATGAAAGTTGACAGGCAAAAGCTCTAAAGTCTTTAAACACTGAGTATCTGGTTGGTGAGCGGTCCACTGAGAAACAAAAAGAAGATAATGTATGCGTGTTTTTTCTACTAATCTGTGTGTCTTCATGTCTCAGGCAGTACGCAGGCTGTGGATGAGCGTACGGTGACCATGGGCTTCCAGCAGTGGCTGGCCAGCGTCACAGAGAGGATCCACCAGACCATGCACTACCAGTTTGATGGTAAAGATGAAGTATTATTAGCACGCTGCATGTTTATGGATCATTTCACCATGTATATGCAAATAGATAGTATATCAATTGCGTTAATTTGCTTTTCGCCAAGAGTTAGACGTGATGATGTCACTTTCATGGGTGAAGTCCCCTCCTTTCCAGTGGACTACCATGGGACCTCGTTCGGGAAAAATATCTTAATAAATCATGAAGTACACATATGATGTTTGTCAGTTTAAACATTTATTTTGCAACTCAACAAAAGTTTCAGTTTGCCTTGTCAAGTAGTCCTATGCATAGTTTTGAACTTGCTTTAATGAACAATTATTTTGGTTATTCTTGGTTAAACCTGTGAATCTCCGCTAAACAAATGGCTTTTTTCCGTTTTTTGCACACAGTAAAAAGTTGTTGTTTCCAACAGGGAAACCTCAGCCTCTGGTGTACCACGTCCCCCAGGAGTTCTTCAACGCTCTGCAGCATCGCCTGTCGCTGGGCTCCAAGAAGAGGAGGCTGCCCAACTTCACAACAGGTGACATTTATTATAAGAAAGCTATTTGTATCATACCTGGACCTCTACAGGTGCTACAAGTGTGTGTACTGCATCCCATCCCAATATCTTAAGAATAAACACAGTGACAGAAATGAGTACTGTAAAAGTTAATATTGCATTGCCTAGTATTTCAATTGTTTGTGTCTTTTACCTTCTACTTCACAGCATCTAATATCTGAATATCAAGTATTGACTCTCTTTCTCTCTTCCTATCTGTGTGAATGTCAGCGTTTGTGAGGAATGATGGACTTCCTCTCGGCTCTTTCTCCAAGTACACCTGGCACATCACCAATCTCATGCAGGTCAAACGCATCTTTGACACCTCAGAGGTAACAAATATAACTTTCCTCCTCCTCTCTTTTTGTCCCCCTCGCTTTCCAATTTCATTTTTACTTTCTTAGCGAAACCTCTCTGATCTCTTGTTGTCCTGCTGCCAAAACCAGAGAAGATATGACATGCTAATATCATAGAAACATTCAAATGTACAGTCTTCTCACCTCTTTATTTCCCCTTCACTCTCTGCCCATCAGCTGCCTCTGGAGCTCTCTCAGAGCTTTGTAAAAAACGCTGACAGCTCGTATTCACGTTTTCACTGCCCTGAGCCTCCGCCTGAACCAGAACTACCAGATGGATTCAGAACAGATCGGCCGCAGGCTATACGACCGATGGAGCTCCGAACCTTCCTCAAAGTTGGTGAGTTGCTTGTTTTCAGCCTTTTTATAATACCATGAAGCAAGCATTATATTTACACTGACAAATCTCTGCAGGACCAGCGGATCAGAAGGATGCCAGTCCGTTTGTGATCGAGTGGATCCCTGACGTTCTGCCTCGCTGTCAGATGGGGGAGCTCAGGATCAGCTTCGAATTTGGACACCAGCAGAGCGGCCAACAGGACATCTGTGACAAAACGAGTGTGGCAGAGAAAGGAGGTCCTAATAAATCGGACTCAACCCAACCCAAACTCACAAAGGCTGCTGAAATCCTTCCGGTGGTTGTGTAGTGACAGTAATCAGTGTCAAACCTGCAATAATCCATTTAACTGCCTCTCTGGGTTTAAAGATATGGATTAATATGACTCATTGACTTATACAGCATGTAATACATTTATTATTATGCAAGTTATGGATAATCAATTGCCATATGATTCATATGGCAATCTGAAAATACTAATGATAAATATCATACTGATATGAAGGACAGTATGATATTTATCATTAGTATTTTCAGACAATCTAGTCTGTTGTACACAACTCATCATAATGCCTTTTATACTGAATGCTAAGTATTCATTACATCAAACTCAAAGAAAAACAACAAAAAGGAAGAATATTTTGGGAAAAATGCCTTTTTGTTGAAACACAATAAGACACATCATACAACCAGAAAGAAGAAAAACGTATACCTTGTATTTAAAACTAAATAAGACATTTTAATGAACTTGATAGTTTACTACAGATGAAAATGTTTCTTCCAATGGGAAAACACACATTCACTATTCCCTAACCTTTCCTAAAGGTTAACTGACCTGTATTTGTGTTCAAGATGTCTGTGTTTCTATGGAAACCATAAAGGAAATAAAACACATTTATTGGATAAAATGTCTCTTTATTGGTAAATAAGCCTTGGCTGAACTTTGTTTGTAATGCTAAATAAAAAGTGTGTTTTTAGTAAAACGCCGTGTACCATATTGATATATAATCCCAATCATTCATGCAAGACATGAACAAATAGAAATGGTGTTTTGATTGAGCTTGGCTTGAGTTAGCCTAAAATCACGATCACAGCGTCAAGTGCTCTGAACGTGAGAATACAGCATTACGCATGCTCAAAGCTGATTGGCTGTTGCCCCACCGCTCAAATCTGATTGGCTGTTTGCCAATTACTGATTTGCTGTTACAAGAAGTTAGTCACTGCCACCAACACGTGGATTATCGCCTACAGCAGCACGCATTTTAAAGATTGCCTTGATATTAATAACCTCAGGTCTACTAACCGCTGTACGCTGTTTTAAACATTATACTTCCGGTAAACTAATAAGATTTGACGTGGAGTGGTTCTCCTGGAGGAAATGCTAATGCTAGCTTTTCGAGAAGCCCCTCAATGCAGTGCGCAATGCCTCAATGAGCTCAATGTGGGCGGGAGCTCAACGTGGGCGGAGCTTCACAGATGACGCGTTGCATCCTGTTTCCCGGTAGCAGTTCTCTTCCCTCCCTTCAATCTAACCCTTCCCTTCCCCCCATCCTAACCCTAACCACTCCCTACCTTTTTACCTAATCCTAATCTTCCTTCCTCCCTCCCAAACCTAAACCCCAAAACCTCTCCTACTGTAAGAAATTAAAATCAATGTTGATATGACGTAATTTAAATTAAATACAGGGTTTTAATTTAAAGCAGTTTTATTCTGAAAAAAACAGAAGTTCAGACTAACTATTAACTTAAAGCTCCCATGTCATGCTTTTCCGGTTATTACCCGTCCCCTTGTGTGTTATGAAGGTTTGTATGCATGTAAACGGTGTGCAGAGTCAAAACCCTCAAAGTACACCCTGTAGCGAGTAAAACTCTAACACAGAAAATACCTCCCCAAAACGCCTCGTTGGAGATACGTCACTGTCCATTTGATTCTTCCGGGTACCGCATGATGTCATGTGGTACCCGGAACAAAATGGACCAATCCGGAAGAGCTATGGTCACACCCAGCGGCGCTGGCCGCACCCTCTGCCAGCCTAACATTTACTGTTGGAATCCAGTCATGCCAATGCCAAGGACCTGTTTCCTGAAATGTGAGGAGAAATCTGAGCTGTTTGTCCTACCGACGGAAGAACCACGACGAAGTCAGTGGTTGAAATGTCTTTTTAACACTGTTCCTTCAGAGGTTCGAAGAACGTTACTGTGTGCGCGGCATTTCACAGACGAAAGCTTCCAAAACATTGCCCAGTTTGAGGCCAGATATGCACAGCATTTGAAACTGAAGGACGATGCTATTCCTAGTTTGTTTGGACCGTTTGGAGCAGGGGAAGATTTGGGTACACAACCTGTAAATTTGCATTGTTATTTGTGTATTTATCAAACAAGACTGTTTAAATGTGTAAACTGTGTCGGACTGCTAAGCCATTGACACAGTGCTAACTGTGCTAACTAAGTTGCTAGCGTTTCCATATATCAACTCTAATATCAGCAGATGGCTTTGCATACATGTATCTCATAGCAGGAGAATGTCTGCATTCACACACGAAATACTCATAGACAGTATACTCCGGGTGATTTGCCGTACGGTCAGTCGCGAAACGTAATTACATTATAGCTGGCGTAGCGTGTATGCTACCGAGCTAACCAACGGAGCTAGACATGGGTTTGCTCGGGAATTTTTTTTTTTTATGCCAGCTACAATGAATGTAGCAGACTACCCGTATAAGATTGCAATTGTAAACACGTTCTTGCTAGCCTAATATGAATCACTAGCTTTTGTTCATAGTGGTTTTATTACACTAAACAAGCCCAGCTTACTGGGCTAACGACGTTGCTAGCGTTTAAATATATCAACTACAATGTCAGCAGATGGCCTTACATGTTTGTCATGGCAGGAGAATGTCTGCAGTCACACACGGAATACTCATACAGTATACTCCGGGTGATTTACCGTACATTGTGACAGTACATGTACATACTGCATGTATAGCTAACGAGGCTAGCTATACATGCTAGCGCAAAACAATGTATTCATGCCAGTTACAATGAATGACCGAACGTAGCAGACTACCCGTATAAGATTGCAATTATAAACACGTTATTGCTAGCCTAATATGAACCACTAGTTTTTGTTCATAGTAGTTTTATTACACTACATTATAGTTGCCGTTCCTCCGAGCTAGCGTTCATATCGTGTTAGCTACCAAAGTAAACAAAGCTAGGTTAGCATATTAGCTGGCAAGCTTACTGTGTTCATTCAACCCAGTCTCACGGCATTTCGTGTTATTAGTCACGAAATTAATTTAATCTATTGATTCGTGTTCACCAACACGATTTGCACCTTTTTTTCGTGTCACACAGAACGATTTTAAATGCAATGTATTTCTATTGGTAGTATGTTTCGTGCCTGCAACACGTCTTTTTGTCCGGTCGGGTCTTGGAAGACCAGAAGCTGTGTGGTTCATAAAAACATGTTCTTACTCAATATCTTACCCTAAGCCTAACCCTATCCCTTTTATTTTAAAGGTTTGAAATGAAATGAAATTTTAAATTGTATAATGTCTTTTTGCCGTCAGTGAGGAAAAGAAATGGGGCTCAGAGCCTCAGAATACTGAAATCTGTATTTTATGTCATCTTTTTTTCCTTCTAATTTGTTATTATTTGGTGCAGGCACGAAACATACTACCAATATAAATACATTGCTTCTAAAATCGTTCTGTGTCAGAATACTTAAATCTGTATTTTTTTTAATTTCTTTTTCCTTCTAATTTGTTATTATTTACATTGCTTTTAAAATCGTTGTGTGACACGAAAAAAATGGCGAAATCGTGTTGGTGAACACGAATCAATAGATTCATTTCGTGACTATAACACGAAATGCCGTGAGACTGTGTTGGTTCATTAGATAGATGGATTAGATAGATCCACACTCCTACCACAACTACTACTAACGAATCTAAAACAACTAAGTTTCTCTAATATTTTGTGATTTGCATTTGATTTCGTCCAGCCAGATCCTGCCGGACAATACATGACGGGACTACCACACTGATGCATCGTCCTAAAAAGCCCCGGCTGCGATAGGCAAGATGTCGACAACGGGGAGGAATTGATGATATACCGTGTATATATGTATATTTACGTTCATTTTGTACATTTCTAAAAATAAAGTTTAATAGAAATACTTAGTAGGCCTATCCTTTCTTCCCTGAATTATTTGCTCCTATAACATATCATTCATATATAGCAAACCATGATTTGATTTCTCATCAAACAGTAGTAGTTTATTACAGGTACAAATAACTTACTCTTTGTTATGACCGGCTCGTAGGCCACAACGGAAAGGCAAGGAGACATACACGAGTTTACAAAACCACGGCACATTTATTGTGGTAAATGCAGAGATAGGTGGTAGAGGGGAGAGGATCGCCGAGTTCGTCGTTCTGCAGCCGCTTTGGAGAGAGACAGGGGCCGCCGTGTGACTCCGGGCAGCTGGGCTTTATAGCACCTCGGCTCCGGCCAGGTGTCCGTGATCGCGCTGATTAGCCTTCAGCTCCACCCCATCGTAAGACCTGCAACACACCTGCACAAAGGCCCTGGGGCCGTCACACTCTTCTATAACAACAGTTGTAGGTACAGTTCGGTTAGTTAGCGTATAAAATATACGGCTGTACCGACGCCATTATAAGACTGATGTTCCGAGAGCGAGCCGAAAAAAGCACCAGCCTCTCTGGTGGTTGACTAATCAGAACAGAGTGGTGGCCGAGCTGACCAATCGGAGCACACTAGGCTCACAGGGAGGGGGGGGCAAGAGCTCCAACGAGTCGTTTAGTGGAGAGAGTGAATACTGCTGAATACACATACTTTACAGAGATGCTGTATGCGAAACCAATGTGAGTTTGGAAAATTGCACAGTATAAATCTATTTTAGTATACCTCAACAATGTAATTATGATCAGTGGAAATGGCCATGACATGGGCCCTTTAACACTTTTATTCTGAAAGGTCTTCATTTCTGGTTAGCATTAGCATATGGCTAACGTTGTGAAAACCGTGAATTTAAGGTGAAATGACATGTGATGTTGTACACTAAACACACTGGGATTAACACTAATTTATTGACGCTGAAATAACGTTTATCAGGGAATGTTTAAATAACCACAGACATCAGAATTATATATATATTAATAATATAAGATATAATATGTTACTTTTGTGACTGGGTAAGTACACAACACGGGAGTCGGGACGTCACGTGCCTCAATGGTTGAGAAAGGTTGAGCTCCCGCCCACATTGAGCAATAGCCGCGTTCACACATTTAGGCATTGCGCACTGCATTGAGGGGTTTGATTGATTGATTGAAAAGTTTATTAACAGCTTGTATATTGGGTACAGTACAGTACAGCTCAAAACATACAATTGTTAAGGGGATGCAGACCAGAGAAAGACTTTCGTCTTGTTTACATCAGGGTCCCCCATTTTCAATTCATCATATAATTTAAGACATATAAGACATATTTGACATACAGATGGCTTATTTACAATTTACATACAGGTGGTTTTTTACATACAGATGGCTTATTTACAATTTTCATTTTAGATTTCGTTCTAATACATCCTAACCGGACATTTAAGACATACCAAGTCTACAGATATACAGTTAGTAACAGAGTCTAAAATGCGAGTATATACATAGATGGGGGGGGTGTCACAGTCTGCTCCATTATTCACCAGTAGTTTTCCATTCACCTGTCTCACCTGTTAATCACACCCACGTTTTTGCTCACTCTCTTTCTCTTCTGCACCCATTAGCTTTACTGCCAGTATTTAAACCCTCACCAGACACACACCCATTGCCAGATCGTACTTTGCCTTCATGCTAGTCTTTCACGCGTTTG